TATTGCTGTGTAACATATTACTACAAACTTAGCCGGCTTAAAATCACACAATTATTATCTCAGTTTCCATGGGTCAGGAGTTCAGCATGTTTTTGCTGAGTCTTCTGCTCAGGGTCTCACTAGGCTGAAATTGAAGCCAGGTACCTGAGGGTAACTGTAAATATTCAGTAATAACATGATTACCCTTAGATCTTGTTCCTAACACAGATACAGATGAAAAGAAGTTAATCTTGTTAATTTGCTGTTTTCTTATTTAACCTGAGGGATGGCTCAAGGATCACAAAGATTTATGACCTTGTTTTGCAGGAAAGAAAGAATGCCTTCAAAGAGGTTATGATCACCAGATAACCAGCCCCTAGCTAGCATTGATGCTCAGAAGTCTGACTGCCCAAGGGCTTATCTGGAGTGAAAGAAACATGGATTTCCCCTTTGTTTCTCTGAAACTCCTTCTCCCAAATCCCTTAGCTCTATAAAAAGCCCCTGCTTTCTTCTTTTGTTAAGGAGGATTTGAGGGAACCTATCCACCCGCCTTCTCGTCTTGGCCAATTCAAATAAACCTTTCTTCATCTCCAAGCACCCTTGTCCCAATGACTGGCTTATAGCCCACCAGGCACACGATCTTAAGATTAAGAGGTTCGTTATCAAAATCATGGTGCCAGGAAGGCTGTGGTCTCATCTGGAGCTCAGGGTTCTCTTCTAAGTTCATTCCTGTTGTTGGCAGAATTCAATTCCTTGTGGTTGTAGGACTCATGTCCCTCTTTTCTTCCTGGCTGTCAGCCAGGCTCTCAGCAATTCGAGGCTACCTACAGCTCCCTGCCACATGGCCCTCTCCAAAACATGGCTGTTTGTTTCTTCAAGACTAACAGTAGAGCATCTGCTGCAGCTTTGAATCTCTCTACCTTCAATATCTGACTCCAGATCCTCTTTAAAAGGAATTCACCCAATTAGATCAGGCCCTCACACTCAAGGGGAGGGAATTTTACAGGATGCACACACCAGGGGACAGGAATCCTGGGGGCCATCTTAGAATTCTGCCTACCACATGCAATCAAAGTAAAGAGCTTCCTATTGATAAAGCTTTATCCAGAGACAATGTAACACTTTGCATACAGAGGAATGGATAAATGACATAACCTTCAGATTATCCTCAAATAGGTTTTTTTGCATCATATCTTTTGACAAAATTGGACAACAAACAGTTTGAGATTAATAATCTCAGATAAAAGTTTGGAGCCTAATTTGCTCATTAAAGCTTAATTAGGGTAGAGCCCTTCTGGTAGTCTGTTTTGGCTGGTATATCCCAAAGAAAAGCCAATCTACCAACTGCCTCAATCATTTCACTATACCAAGGACAAAGTCCACCCATGGATCAATACAGAAACTCAGGATATGGTGAGCAGAAGAAAAAAAAAGGGAGATGTTCACCAAGAAAAAGCACAATCAACTACATAATTTCTAGAAGAGCCCAAACCAACTATCAATATTAAGTAAGACTTTCAAACCTGTTTTCTCACATGATTCTAAAGAAAGCTACTTAGAAATTTTTTTTAAAAACAAGAACAAATTTTTGTGTGTGTGTGTGAGGAAGATTGCCCACGAGCTAACATCCATTACCAATCTTCCTCTTTTTGCTGAGGAAGATTGGCCCTGAGCTAACATCCATGCCCATCTTCCTCTATTTTGTACATGGGACACCTCCACAGCATGGCTTGATAAGCAGCGCATAGGTCCACACCCAGGATCCGAACCCACAAACCCCAGGCCACCGAAGCGGAGTGAGCGAACTTAACTACCACGCCACTGGGCCGGCCCCAAGAACAAATTTTTATAGCCAAAACTGCAGTTGCTGAACTAAAAATAATAATGATGATAAAGTTTTGAATAGCAGCACTGACAATGCTAAAAACTGAATTAGTAAATTAGAAGGCAAACCTATGGGGGAAAATGTCAAAGACATAAAATTGTAAGGAAAAAAGGCAAGAGACATGGAAGATATGCATTATTATTTATATTTAGAAAAGAAATTGGGTATGGTGTCCACATAGAACCTAATTGGAAAGAAATAGATCAGAGACCTAATAAGTCTTGAGCTAACTATAAGGCCAAAAAACCACAAATCTGAACTGAATAAACCTTTGACTGTTCAGAGCCTTAAAACAATACTTGGGCCCCTAAACTTGCAAAAGCAGAAAGCAGATAGTGAAAGATATATATAGATATAGATGTGGTTGTAGATATAAATGTAGGTATACATATATTTATATATATATAGAGAGAGAGACCTTCTAAGGAAGGTATATTCCCCAGCACCCACTTCAGAAGTATACGTAGAAAAAAAACAGAGAAACAAAAACTAGGGTGCAGCCAGGAGCCCAGGAGAACAATAAATAAAGGAGTTCCTTATAGACGGTCAACACCTAAGCAAGGAAGTTCCCCTACTACCAACGCAGAAGGATTTCCCTAATGATGGCCCAAAAGGATTTTATGATTTGCTACCAAGTAGGGAATACTATGCATCTCCCATGCTTCTCTTTTCTAAATGGAAGTTTTTATTGTAGTTATTCTATTCTAGCTTCTTCATTGTATATTGGGGGTGGGAGGGGACACAGGTGCAAACAACTTGTCATCTTAGTTCCTGGTCACCAGCCCATGAAGAGACACAGCTGGATCTAATGGAGACTATTGAGCACTCATGGAAGATACCAGACATTGAGATAGATGTAGTGACTAGATGGGATATTGGGGTGCCTTCCTTAGGGAAGGGGCAAAGTGTGCTCTATGGATGAGAGAAAGAGTGAAGAGATATTTGATGACCAAAAGGGTAGACTGTGCCAGAGACCAGCTACTCTTCACCAAACCTGTGTCCTTCTCCTCTTAGGGACAGAATGAGATTATATTTCCCAGCCTGCTTTGCAACTCGGTATGGCTCTGTAATTAAATTCTGGCCAATGAAATGTAAGTAGAAGTGATAATGTGTCACATCCATGCCTAGCCCTTAAAAACCCTCCCACGTACAATACTCTTTGATTTTTCCCCTTCTGCAGCAATCTTCAAAGCCTTATTAAAAATGGCACAGCCATACAGTGGAAAGAGTCCCTAAATCACCATTGCAAAGAAAACCATCACAAATCAGAAACATCATTTTAAGCTTGACGTAAGTGAGAAATAAACCATATCCTCTCCCTCTTTTCCAACATCTATAAATTCAAACAAATATTTAATGAACACCCACTATGTTTAAAGTATGTGGCAGTTTCTCTCCCTCCTACTTTCCTTACTTTTTAGGTACTATAGAAGATTTATAAATGTATAAGATATCTTTATTCAAGGATTTTATATATACCATAGCATACGATAATAATATATGCAATAAGAGTTATATTTGAGATGAAAAATTTTATAGGAGGAATGAAGGGTTATTAGTTAATTAAAAGCTCTAAATTCACAAGGGGTTTCTTCACCATTTCTTTATATGACAAATATAGAGCAAACAGCTAATGGTTTACACAGATTGAGTGCCATAGTAAACAAATTCACCTCAATCTAACCTAAATTCTACTACAGGATCTGACCTTTACAAGCTGTCTGAACTTGAGCAAGTCATTTTCCTGCCCTGGGCCTTAATTTTTTTAGATAATTAAGGAGTGAAAACAGATAATCTCACATTAAATGAAATAATAATATTCTTCGTGGAATCCTCTCTTTCACCAAAAAGGAAGTCAAGTTAATTTCTCGGGCAGAGGCCTAGAAGAAGCAACTTTAAAAAAAGAAGGTTCCACAGAGGCTTTATACCATAACTCTCCCATATTTTGACAGTTTAGGAAAAATTGGTCAACGACAATAAAGACTTGTCTTACAAGATACCTTCATTCCTGTACTCAAAACACACCCAGCAATGCAAAGGTATATTTTCAATGATTAATTTTGTTTCTTCACCACTAAAAAAAAACAGGATATGAGTATTTCCAGCAGGTTTATCATCAACTAGTTTTAATCTTTCCACTGTGTAAAGCATAACACTGACTAAAATTTAAAAGAAGAAAGGGGAAAAGAATATCTGCATTCCCTTAGGAAAGGGATTTCCAGTAGGCAAATCTCTTTTGCAGAATCAAATAGACATCTGAAGAAAGACTGCCAAGGCTAGCTGAGACCAAAACTATGACCCAGAATATGACCTACTCCCTCCTTCTTCACAGAATAAGAACTAAAAATGACTTATTCAAGGACACAGTTGTTTATAGAACCAAAAAACACTTTCCATAAACAACTGAATCTTCTATTTATTGTTGTAAGTTACATCATAAAGTATACTGAGAAATTTTAATAAAATCAATGTGACTTGAATTTCAAAAGAGCCAGTAGTACTGCAAGTCATTACTGCTCTTTTATTCATAATGACAAAAGAAATCCGGATGTTCCTTGTGGCTTTTATAACTTAGAGCTGAAGATATTGAAAGAAAAAAAATCTAAATATTTCCAAAACATTTGTTAATTTATAAGCTGTAAATAAATCCCTTTCTGTGATCATAATTCACAGCATTTCCCAATAGGCTTTTTTTCATTGACACTCAGTGATACCAGAAATAACAATTACAGAAATATTCATATATAACCTGACATCTTGCTTACATAGTAAATAACCAACCAAAGTCACCTGCAGTACAATTTAGCTCATTAACTAGAAAGAGAACTTTTAAAAATCTTGAGCTTCAAATCATATCCAAAGTCAAGGAAAGTACTCAAAAAATTGAAAAACCTCTTCAAAGCCCCAATATAAAACTAGTATTTACTGAATATCCACAGAGCAAAACAATATACTAGTAAATAATTCATTGCTCTGTTAAGAAAATAAAACACATATTTTAATCAGGTGTTCCCATAAGGATGAAGGACTTTCCTAAAATGACAAGAAACAATTAAGACACTTAGCAAAGAGAAACCTGTGTTTAAAAGAATACTTGCAAAGTCACTGGCCAACCTATCATAAACCCAACACATACTTGCTTCATGGCAGTCTCTCCAATTTTGTCTGAATGTTTGCGGATACTCTCCAGAAAGTCTTTGAGATCAGACATAGAAACATCTTTAATTTCTTCTCGAAGCTTGGGGATGTTGTCCACCATCACCTTGCAGAATCGATAGTGGCTTACTTGAGGCAGATAGGTATGCTCTAGATGTTCCAGAGTTTTCAGTGCAGGATAATGCCTATAAAAGGAATTTTATCACCTTTAGCTCAACTCAGTCTTCTTTAGGGGCACAGATATATTTCTCAGGCAAAATTTCTAGCCTGATATGTTTTCACTATACATTAAGACAAATCCAGTATTAAGTTTCAATAAAAACATCAACGGAAAAATGCCAAATTATTAAAAATTAATATATGCATTAAAGAACTTAATAAATTATAATAAAAACTATTTTATCCCAAGAATACAGAAAACTTAGAAAATCTACCAATGAAATTCATTACATAAAGAATAAAAGGAAATACAAAATGATCATATCAATACCAAAAAAATCATCCTACAAAATAAAGTACCCAAGGCTAGAATTCCAACTATGGCACACGGAAGAGCTTAGCAAATCTTCTACCCAAAAAACAAATATAAACCAGACAAAACTGTCCCAAACAACCATTTCAGGGCTCTTGAAAACAAAGGAGAACAACAATTAAGAAGTGTGTAGTCATGAAAACTGCTGAACTGTGGGACTGTACGGTGTTCTTGCCTGGGGCTACCATTCCTTCCCATCCCGGCCCCCAGTCACTGGTTACGGCTTGTCATGAAAACAGCAGCTTCTCTGCTATTAAGGGCTGACACGATTTGAAGCAGAGGGTGAAAAACCCACATTGAGTGGCGCTGTTAGGAAAAGTAGCAAACTCACTTAAAAAAAAAAAAGGGAAAGCCCCCAGCTCTACTAGCCTGATGTTAGTCTGGGTTGGGACAAAGGGCAGATTGGAGGACTAACCAGAAGTTTAACAGACAAGACCTGGAAATGTGAGACCCATAGAAGGGCTTGGTAGTTCTTTGCACATCTGTCACTGACTGAGAAGCTGTGCACACAACAGGGGACACCCAAAAGAGCCTAAGCAGTCCACATATCCTTGGCTGACTAGGAGGCTGCAGACACGCACATAGGAGGCCTGGCAGAAAGTAAGAGCTCAGGCAGGCTTGAAAACTGCCTGAATTTTTAATGTACTCCCTAACCCAAACACAAATCCACTGACAAAGGGTGGAAACCTTATTGGCTCAAGTTTGTTTGAGCAAACTCAGCCCAATCATTAGCTGATGACTATCCTTTAAAAATGAAAATGAAATAAATTCCTAGATAAACAAAGACTGAGAAAATTCTTTGCTAGCAGATCTGCCTTACAAGAAACACTAAAAGAAGCCAGAAAGGAAATGACAGCAGATAGTAACTTGAATTCACAGAAAGAAATGAAGAGCATAGGAAATAGTAAATATGTGCTAAATATAAAAGACTGAATAAATATACACTTTTTCTTCTTTAAATTTCATTAAAAGACAAAATTTTTAAAAGCAACGATTATAACACTGTATTGTTGGGTTTATAAAATACATAGATAATATATATGACAGTAATAGCACAAAAGAGGAGAGAAGAAATGGAGTTAAGTTGAAGCGAAAGTACTACTATATATTACACCAAAACTACATTAGCAATCACCTAAAGCACACTGTGATAAATTAAGATGCAGATTATAATCTACAGAGCAACCTCTAAAAAAAAACAAAAAATATATCATTAAAAAATCAACAGAGGAATTAAAATAGTACACTACAAAATATTTAATACATAAAAAGGGAATAAAGAATGATAACAAAAAAGATATGGAAAACAAAGAGCAAAATCCAACAATATATTAGCAAATAAAAAACTAATCTAGATGTCGAATAACAAGGAATTGGTTAAACACATTAAGATGTATCTATGTAGTAAAAGACTAATAAAATACCAAAGTGTTTACAATATTGTTGAGTGAAAATTATCTCAAAAAAGAGAACTTAAACTTTTTCAAAATTATAAATATGTAGGGGCCGGCCAGGTGGCATAGTGGTTAAGTTCACACACTCCACTTTGGCAGCCTGGGGTTCGCAGGTTCAGATCCCAGGCGCAGACCTACGCACCACTCATCAGGCCATGCTATGGCAAGCGTCCCACACAGAAAGTAGAGGAAGATGGGCACAGATGTTAGCACAGAGCCAATCTTCCTCAGCAAAAAGAGGAGGACTGGCAACAGATGTTACCTCAGGGCTAATCTTCCTCACACACAAAAAAATTATAAATATGTATACACATATAAATTATTAATATGTATGCATATATGAGCTATATATCACTAAATACTTGTGCACACATACATAAGTACACAGAAAATGACTAGAAAACTATATACAAAAATATTTACATGTTTTTCCTTTGGATAGCAACATTATGGGTGATAATTTTCTTCTTCATGTTTTTAATTTTCTAATTTCCATATTTCCCATGATATATTTAGCATGGGAAAAACTCAGTTCCAATCCTATATATATATATGATTTACAGCTCTATTTTAGATTTTAAGAATGAATTTCACAGTAGATACTTAAGCTCTTCTTGCTCCAATGCACTTAGTTCCACAAACACTAAAGAAGACTAGAGATTGGTTTTACTTGTTTTATTTACTTTTCTGTTTTTCCCTCATGTGTTCCAAAAATCAAAATCTTTGTCCAAATAAGTGGAGGGAAGAAAGGTTTATTTCCTCTAAATTTAGAAATAAAAGTACAAATACAGTTTAATCTGAAATGGTTGCTTTTATTAAAATTTTACAGACTCAAAAACAGTACAATTCACATGGCTTAGTGTAAACAGAATGGTGTTTATACTACAATTAGGTACAAAGAGCTATATGCAATAAAATGCAATTCCTCTAGAGAGAAACTTTAGAATGGATAGAAAGCCAGAAATTAAGCCAAAAAGATAAACACACTTTGCGGTTTAGTTATATTTTGGAACATTGTTTACAGAATGAGAAAAATCTAACAATGTTGCCTGTGGACACAAGGCACATTCGCTGATGAGACACATGGCTGCACGCTGAAAACATCTGGTCTGTCAAATAACTCCACATTTTTCAAGGCTAATTAGTACAAAACCCAATGATTCCTGGCAACAAAGAATGTCACCTTATTTCCCCATTGTCCTTTCCCTACCATATTCATGTTCCAACTATCACATATCAATAAGGTTATTCAAATTCCTATTATATTTCAATATCTAGGTTAAAAAGGGTAAATAGGTTAGACAGGTTAAAGATGATAGCCAATTAAACACCCCTACAGCAGACACCAAAAGAAAAACTTCTATTTCCAATGGCCATGGAAATCTAAAACAAGATTTTGACATTACTTTTGACAACCTTTAAACATTATTAAAAGTGAATCAAAAGCCAAATTCCTAAGTTTCATTGCATGTGTACTAGCTCTCTCCCTCTCCTCCTCGTGCAGCCTCCTTAATAAAGATGTGAGCAGAAAGTAAATGAAATAAGAGCAGGGAATAAAAAGGAAGAAGGCAGGAAAAGAGATCTAAATAATCCTATAAACTGGATAAGTAAGGTCAGAATAATTTAGACATGGTTGAATGCTATCGTGAGAAAAGGAATGTTGATTCTAGGCAAATTAAATTTTGGTACTTTCTTGCCATGGTATGGAACTCTTTCATAATGATGGTTTTCAAAATTCTAATAAGTGATCTTTTGAAGTGGATTGCAACTACCCATGACAAACTTCTAAAAATTCAGAGTATGATAAGAATGTGAAACACAAGCTTTCACCACAGGGAATATTAGTGCCTTTCCTAATCAAAGAGCATTATTAACAAATATTTAATCCCTTCTATGTGCTAGAGATAGAAAGACGGTCAAATATCTTTCCTTAGGGAGCACAAAATCTAGTAGTACTCACTACTTACAACTTAAAAAAAATAACGAGGCTTTCAGCCATGAAGGAGTAACAAGGAACAGACATGAACTCCCACTCTTCAAAAGTAGGACACTGGCTAAAATACATAAAACAACTGTTTTCAGATAGTGGACATCAGGTGACACAGAATTGTGATTTCTGAAAAAAGGGAAACAAACAAGGTGAGTTTAATACTTATCCAGGTTATCTACCTGAAGGTGATTTCTAGATCACAGACACAGAGAAAACCCAAACAGAGTTAGAGGAGCTTAGCAGAGTTAGAGCCAGAGATAGGAGTTCAGGAAAACTGATGCACCTTGAGGCTGTGTAGCAGAATTCAAAAAAAAAGTGAACAATGTAGAAAAGAACTGCAGAAATCTACAAAGGGGTTCCCCTGAGTCTCCGTTGAGTACTAGGCCAGGCATAGGAAAAGTGAAATTCCACATGGACAGGCAAAAAGAGGGGAAGGAAGGAAGGGAAGGGAAAAAAGGGAGGGAGGGAAAGACAGACAGACACCAGGGAGATGTAAGATAAACACTTCAAGGAGTTCAGAGACAAGGCAGAGAAACATTCGAACTCTGAACAGCCAAAGTGTTCAGAACCCCAATCCTTGGGGATTCCTGAGTTATTCAGAGTAGATGAATACTACTCTGAACTACCCCTGGAAGGAAGGCAGGCCTAGCAAAGCTTAAAAATAGGATATGAAGGGATCAAATGTACCTGCAAACAACTAAACTATTTGCCAAAACAAAGACCAAAACTTTCTAAGAAAAAAAACAGCCCCCAAAAGTCCAGACACTTGGCAACATAATATGATGTCCACTATCCAATCAAAAATTACTAGACAAGGTAAGAACCAAAAAATTGACCTATAACTAGGAAAAACATAATCAGTCTGCAGAAAGAGATCCAAAATGCCAGAAGTGACAGAACTAGCAGACAAGTACATGAAAACAGATATTAGAGCTATACACGTGTATTTAAAGAAGACACAAAAATAACATGAGAAATTAAACATAAAAAAAAAATGGAACTCCTAAAGATGAAAAATATATTATCTGAAATTAAAATTTTACAATTAGACATTGCAAAGAAAGAGATCAGTGCACTTGAACACAGCAATAAAATCTATCCCATATAAAGCACAGACAGAAACAAGACTGGGGGGAAAAAAAAGAACAAATCCTCAAGTCACCTATAGGATTATATGAAGTTGTCCAACATAGATGTAACTGAAGTCCC